TCGGCGTGTTGTTTTTGTACAATATATATGAATAACTGCCGAACTGTAAAACCTTACAATTTTCAAATATAGATACAGCAAATTATGTAGTACAGTAAAGGAAATAACGGAAGTAGAAACCTTAAGAATAGCTCTCTGTGCTCTCTCGGTAGACAATAGTAAAGTTTTACCCACTCCGCCTCATGTAGTAGGATAAAATTGATTGGCATAGTGCCAATTAACTTGTCTAATTATTGCAAATTTTGCAATATGTCGTACTTTTTAAAAATAAATATCATTTTACGAAATTACAGCCTCAATGTGTTATCTTAATTACGCAATTTACAATTATGCAAAAATATACGTATTTAATATTCTTCCTGTTGGACAGACAAAAATTTTAGTCATCAGATCTGTTGCTTGAACATTGATGAAAGGCTGTCCATAGTATCGAAAGTAATAACTGCTAGATAAATTCGCCAGAGCTACATTAAAAAAAAATGTTTCAGCGTCCCAGAGTCAGATATTATTTTGAGTTTTACTTATAGGTTAGTAGAGTAGTGTTGTAGTGTTACTTATAAATAAAATATGTAGGTATAAAACCGCTATTGAAATGGACATTTGGTATTAAAAGATAGTACATATTTATAGTCTTGGCGCCTTCTTAAATGTGTAATCTATTTTACGCATAGTTACCGCGTAAAAAAGCAAAATCCTATTGGTAGAGGAACATAGGTATCCAAATAAATATTAAGTTTATGTAAAATGAAACACTGAAATTACTTTTTAAATTATTATTGATATAAAATTTAATATACATCGAAATACAGCAAGTGCCGGCCTGAGCCTGGACAATAAGTCAATTAATAAGACTATTTTCAATTTTTCCCTATTACAAATCATTTAACAAGGTATTTCAATGTGTATTCCATATTCAGTTACTTTTTTCTACATGTCTAGTACAATATTTGTGTTAATAAATAAAATAATCAGAAAGCTTATAATAAGTAACCAAACAACTGCTGACGCAAAACCGACCGTTTTAAAATTTTTACTGTTCTATTTTCGGCTACTAATATATTTTAATATCTATATTTAGTTTCAATAAATATTTAAGACTTATTTATAGATCTGTCGGATAATTGTCTAATTCCAAAATACATCGCAATCTCTTTCAAAGGTATAGCGAACGTGTTAACGATTAATGGAATCATGTATGGTTTATACTGCAATTGTTTCCGGAACAAATGATGAGTAGAATTATCAAGAAACACAATAAAAACATAGTCATATTTGCGTCTAACGCAAAAAACCGTCGCAATTGCAATTAAAGTCGTGATAAATAATAGCAAAGTACATGAATATCTTTCAAATACCAATGTTAAAAGTTTCGAGATAAATTTTAAAGTTAGGTAATTAGTATCTTGTTTTACATGACTAGTGGAATATGACATTTCTTTTATATAAAAAACACTACTTTAGTTGTTGTTGAATTAGTGTTAGTGTGAGTTAGACTTCTGTGTGTAAAAATGATGTAGAGTATTTTAATAGAAAAATACAACCATAGGGTTGTACTGCTTTAATTTATCATATTTACTATGTAATACCCGTAACTTCGCCTTGGTGGTTATGAATAATAGAAAAAAATAATTAAACACGTTGCTTTGAAATGTACCAAAATTTTATTTATTTGCTATTAAGATATGAGTAGCTCGGTGGCATAGTGGATAAGCGCCGCTGCCCGCGATCGTAGTCGTTAAGCAACTTTCGCAAGGGTCGGTCACGGGATGGGTGAACAAAAAAAAATATCTCGAGCTACTCCGTGCTTCGGAAGGCACGTAAAGCCGTTGGTCCCGGCTGCATTTGCAGTCGTTAATACCCTCCAATCCGCATTGGGCCAGCGTGGAGGGTCATGACCCATCCTCCTTAATCATCCATAAGGAAGGCCTGAGCCCCTGCAGTGGGGACGTAAAAGGGTTGGTGGTGCTATTAAGATAATGCAAGTGTTGCTATCAAAATATCCAATATAAATAGAAAAATAATATGCAGTGATTATAAATTTATCAATTTCATGGAAAAGAAAAAAAAATAATTTAAGAGGAAATCTGTCGAAATAATTATCGAAATTAATTTAAGACTGATTAATTTAAAAAAACTTTAGGATTAGTCCAATTTAATTCCTTACACATCTAATATTATTTTCTGTAACTAGCTTTACTTTATTCACAGTCCAAAATTAGTTTTTAAGTTTGAGTTCCTATAACTCTGCAAAAGAAATTAGAATAAAATATACAGATTTTATTTAATTATTATTCAACAAATTATAGAAGTAAATGTTTTTTTATGTGACAATTCACTCCAATAAAATGTCAAGGTTATGATAGACAAGCAGACAGACAAACAGATCGAGAATAGAGACTATCTGCTGTAGTAAACAATATAGCATTAGTTTAATGTAGCGGAGTTTTCCTGTACAGGTCATCCAAAACCGCAACGGTAATATTCCGAATCGAGTGTGCAGGTATACCGACCTCTATAGAGATTAAAAAAGTATATTTATAGATTATGGTTGTAACACTTGAAATGGATGTAAGGCGTAATTCTATCAGTCACTGTCGGTAGGAACCGTATACGAGTTGCGGAATATTGCCATAACGCATGCCATAGAACAATTCGCCACGCCTTTTACAGGAGAGCGGTTTAAAGCTGAAAAGTTGAATAAAAACGATATTTTAAGGGTTTGGATTACGAAATTAGGCATGGGTGTTTTTTATTCTGCAATACATTAAACAAATATAATAGATTAATTTATTTTACTTTATATACGTAACAATGTCACGTGACTATTTTACACGGACATATTTTACTATCTTACGCAGGATGTGGTAGATCCAAATTTTTTATATCCAACTTTGTCGGATACGATAGGTATGAAGTTTTTGATAGGAAAACTAAGTATATTTTGTTAATTTTCCTAGATACGTTGTTTCTTATACCAAAAAAAAGGGAAATAATTTGCTATACAAAATTATAAATTTGAAATCTATTTTATTAATAAAATATGAGTGGCAAGTCTTTATATAAAGTTAATAACTTTGCAATATTACCTGTATCAATGCATGCACCATTTTCAACAACTGCGTTGTTTGGTAAAATAAGGCTTAAAATCCTTGAGGATCTGCTTCTTTGCGGTCGACTGACATTATATCTTTTGAAATCAGAGTGTATGTAATTAACGTTTCACAACAATTTGGCGCTCCAAAGAACCTACGTGCATTTTTCCCGACATTAACTATGCAACTGGCAGGTTGACGTAAGATTGACGCATTCACTCGTCGGTTATGTCCGATCAAAATTGACTGTAAGTGAGTACCTTCATTTTTGTACGTACAAGCGACACTACCGACATTAATAACGTAATTATCTTCGTAATTATAATAAAATCAACAATTATTTTTTTGTGATATTATTCCTTACACCCTTATGAGGTTTTATACAAAAAAAAAACAAAAATCGTTAAAATGCAGATCCCACATTAATGATAGGGCGTGGCGAATTGTTATTGCTTATAGTCTAGTCTTTTTATTTTTTTTACCATACGGAAAATGCCTTCAGCATACCCCGCCGCCTGGCGAGCGACGAGGTTATGTGGGACTCCGCTCTGTAAATCCATCCAGCGGATATTCACTCAATGGACCCACACAAGCCAATCCACTAAAAAGCTTACAATGTATGTACCTACCTTCCCGTGGCCAACAAACCGCAGCCGAGTCATCAATCGATCGAATGTAAAACGACTGCGCTACTAAAGGAAACCTGCATGCTGTAAGTAACAAATACTTTTATCGTGAGTTTAATCAAAAACTACTTCTGATATCGTAACTGTATTTTAACAATTAAATAAAACTACGTTTAATCAGTCGTGTAGTTTTGAAATAGTATTATTTTCTTCGACGTTTTAAATCTTAAACAAGTACGGAACAAGACTGCCAAAATTTAAGTCTAGTAAACACTAGTGTCTGTCTGTTCATTCAAAAGACATCAACGCATCAGAAACTGTTCAAATCAATACAATTTTTTATTATTCATACAAATCTTGTTTTTATTTTCTTATAATTTAATTTAATTTTTTATATTAAAATAATGCTCACATAAATATTATATTCGCTTATGAGTTAGGAGTAGGAACAGTTTCTGTCCTAGTCACTCCCGTGTGACATTTACATACATATTTTGTGTCGGTTTACATATTTTGTCACGATTCCGACATTTTGTGGCGGCGGCCATCTTGGATCGATTTCCATCAAACATAGTGAAGAACACACCCGACTAATACACCTTTCAAACAAAAAAAAAAACAAAATCAAAATCGGTTCATCCGTTCGGGAGCTATGATGCCACAGACAAACAGGTCAAACTTATAACACCCCGTCGTTTATGCGTCGGGGGTTAAAAAATAGATAAAACTAATTAAAATGGTTATATCTCGTATATTTTTGAAAAATTATTTCATATTTCAGACTTTTCAGATACTTAACAGGTTCTATTTACTTAAGCTAAGATGTTGGTCGTTTTACAATATAAATAACTTTAAAAAAATATACGCAATAAAACCGTTTTTAAGTAATTTTATTTGATAAATAGTGTACTTGAAAATATAAGAAACAAGTAACTTAGCATTTTCTTTCAAACTAAACCTGTAAGTAGACTTTTAGTATAACTAGTTGATGATAACCCATTTAAAATTCATTTGCAAGATTTTACAACACTGTGTAATTAAAATAAAAGCTAGTAAACCATGCATTCTTTCTATTTTGACTGCAAAGAAAGTTTGATTGTTGTAAAATTGTCTTTGTCCTTCTAAATCTCAACCTTTGTGTGAAACTACAATCAACTAAGGAGCTCGATCATGAAAGTATAAGAGACGTGTAAGGCAAAGCAATCACCGCATTTATTAATTCGTTGATGTAGAAGATAGTACATTATAATATCGTGGACAGTGCATATAACACGCGGTTCGCTCACACACACTATCCGCTAACGACGTGTTACAGTATCAATTGTTTATTTATTTCTTATTTAAAAAAATATTTACTACTTCCACTAATGTTACACAGTAAATAACAACGTAGTTCATTTAGTAATAAAAACTGTTTTGTAAATAGGTTTAATTTTTTAATTAGTTTTGCAGTGTATTTTAATAGTGTACAGTCAAGTATGAAGTGTGTGTTGTGTTTTGTGGTTATTATTTTCGTTACTACAAAGGGATGTAACGCAAAATTATTAACAGGTAAGATTAACTTAAGTAACATTAAGCATCTTCTTCATTCTAAAATTCATCCTCTGGCCAACGGCGTAATATTTATATAAATTGGTCCAAAGTTTTTGCTTCAAAAATGAAGAAGACGCATATAACAAAAGTCACTGACACTCAGTTTGGTAAGAAATGACATCCAAATGAACTGTAATTAAAAATGAGAAAAACGCATTACATTTAAATGTCCTTACAGGGCCTCGAAAGGTTTAAATAAAATATATAAAAATATCTTGATAAAAAAATATACAAAATTACCTTGTAATTTAATTTTACATTTGTTTCATTAATTTGGGTGATTATACTCTAGGAAAAATTAATAAATATATATAGGTAAATGCAGACAATGATTAATTTGATTTAATTACAATTAATTAAAAATATCACATCAACCATGCGTTAGCTCGGTCTCCATATCTAGATCATGTAAAAATCACGTACTATATATTTCCGGGTAACAGACATGCAATAAACAATTAGTAATAAACAGTTAGTAGTTATTAATAAACTATGACCTCAGTTATTTCTTATTTGTATGAAAACTTGTATGAAATCTTTCATAGACAATGGGAAAGTTGCGAGTAATTCCCATAACGAGTGTCTTTGATTACTCATTGGGAAGTATCGGCGTATTAATTTGTAACCGAATGATTTCAGCAATAAACAATTTTTTTTTTTGATTTGATTTAAGGTATTGGTTCCGGTTAGCCTGAATCTATTATGTCCCGAACTAAGAGCCAAATTGGTGATCCTCACGTAATTCTCCGTAATTCTGCCATTCTGCATAATAAATAAATATATTTACCAGATTCCAAATTGAGTGGAATTATTTTTTATTTTTTACAGATATTTAGTATTTATTTTACAGATTTCTTTATTGTAACCATATTACACTTATATTATGGTTACAATGTTACCACAACACACAAACCGCGAGATATTAACTTTTGACCCGGCTAGAAATCGAATCTGTGATCTGAGAGATGTCGACATCTTAGAGCAGGCGTTCGGGCCACTCGGTCGCAGCAGTCGTTTACCTTTTTAATCGACTTCAAAACACGACGATAGTCATTACGGATTTTTTTATTTTAATATTAATTAACATCGTGATTATTAGAAATTACATACTTCATTTTTTTTAAAAGCTTTTAATAATAAAACTCTTTTGGTTTGAAAAAATACATTTAAATCATTAATATTCAGGATAAAAAAAATTGTTATTCTGCCCAAATGAAGTTGACATTCAAACTTATGACGTCAATTGCCTACTTTTTCATGTTATGGAATATTTTGTAAGGTATTTATTGTAATACCTGTGGTTCCGGTTTGATCAACATTGGATTGGATGCATGCAAAATGTTAACTGGTTTTGTTTTTTATAAAAGTTTATAATGGAACTGACGAATAGTATTATATCTATAATACATTTGAAATACTTTTTTACGATTCTTTCCAAACTCTTAAAACAGGTCTATCAAAAAACAAGTCTAAATATAAATTAACTTATTACACTATAGTCTATACTAATTGTAAGAGGAAACTATTGGTTTTTTGTTTGGAATGGATATATTTAAAAACCATTGGACATACTTTTTTATCAATATTAAGACTACACTTAATATACATATTATAGTTTTGTAACAAGGTTATATATTATTATTTCTATAAGGAAACATGAAAATCGCGTTAGTTAGGGCAATATAAGTCATAAGAAGATAAATAAGTATTTTCATTTTTTTATAAATCGTTGTCACTGATAAACTGTATTATTATCTTCTATTACCTACCGCTAGGAAAAGAGAATGCGTTGTTACCACGGCTGTATCATTTGGATGATTATGAACGCTGCCTGGCCGCTCCAAAAGGAGATGGTCTTTACTGCATGGGCACCTTCCACCTGACGCCTATGAAGCCGGACCACCATGCTTACCGTATCATGGAGGTAGGTTTTTGCTATAGATCATAGTATTTATTTATGGTGAATTATTTAAGTATTTTTCATTAAGAATATTTTATTAGCATAGCATTGTGAATGCAAATTTGATTAAATATTATAATAAGAATAAATTTTCATCTTTTTCGAAACTTTTAAATGTTTGTAAAAACATTTCTTTAGGCTGTTAGGATGGGTTGTCTGAACTTTGATGAAAATACGCTCTGTAGTAGCAGAAAATAATAACTAGTGCTTGTTAAATTCGTCAGCCCTGTTAGGCCTTGGGTAGCTAAGTGGTTAGTCGCGCATCCCCTCGCGAATCCCATCTCAGAGTACAGAGGACAAAGTGGACTTTTTAAGTATTTTTCAGTATTATATTTTCCACTATAGCATTGTGAATTTATCAAATGTAATAAATGGAGAAAAGTTAATTTTTTACATTAATATAGGGTATAGTCGAACTTGGGATCTCAAAGATGATGGCAAGGCGACAGGTGATAGTTTGGTGAGCCACTCGGCCACGGATGTAGATTGTCGTAATGTCACTTTGACAGCTAGGATTTTTTTATAAATAAAATTACTTTTTAGGTAGGATTAAACTTCCTTAGATAAACTTCAATGAACAGGCACCAGAATTCCTGCTTGTCAGATCTCCCCAAAGAAAGAGGACTGAACCCTGCGCCACTACTTAACACAAACCTTTCAAACAGTTTTACACAATAAAGTTTTGTATACAAGTATAACATCCTTGAACACTCATCACGATGAGACTCAACAAAGTTGCATGAATGAAAGCAACCACTCTAAGCCGTGGAAACGTACATAATTTAATAAGAGCTCATTCTATCGTAGGAATCTTCAAAAGACCCGCTGAATTTCAACCGTACCCTCATTCACCGTGGTTATTGCGTCAGCTCCCGTTGCCCGCTTGTTCCTGGGCAGAAATTCAATGATACCAGACGCTTCGAAGAGTGCATCGCTCATTGGGCGCGCATGCTCGACTATAAGTCCACATCGGTTACTATAGAATTCTGCAAGTCTGCAAAACAGGCTAACATCACCAACAATTTGGACACTTCAAAAACTTTGTTTTTGGTAGTGATCCTGTTTATACTATTTTGTAATGTTGTTGGAACAATTTACGATGTGCAGACGTCTAATGTGAAAAGTATGTACTTATGGCTTTTTTTAATTTCACTGTCTTTTTTACATCTTACATTATGTGAAAAATATTGTTTTGAGCTTTAAACAAAAATTGCATAGAAAAATATCAACATTACAAACTACTAATAAAAATGACCCAAATGATTAAAACAGTCGTTCGGATTATAATAGTTATTTAAGATACGAGTGCGGAAAGTAAGGTTTTACGAATAAGGGCCGGGTAATAAAACTAAGTATGTATTAAAGGTAAAAAATATTTGTTAAAATTAAACGTGATATTTGAACATGTTTTTGTGTCATACTCGAAAAACCTTTTACGCTCAAGTTTCTTACAACATTTTTCAATGCTTTTTGCGAGGAAATAAAACAAATATATAGTTTAATAAAACTAAGTATGTATTAAAGGTATAAATTATTTGTTAAAATTAAACGTGATATTTGAACATGTTTTTGTGTCATACTCGAAAAACCTTTTACGCTCAAGTTTCTTACAACATTTTTCAATGCTTTTTGCGAGGAAATAAAACAAATATATAGTTTAATAAAACTAAGTATGTATTAAAGGTATAAATTATATGTTACAATTAAACGTGATATTTGAACATGTTTTCGTGTCATACTCGAAAAACCTTTTACGCTCAAGTTTCTTACAACATTTTTCAATGCTTTTTGCGAGGAAATAAAACAAATATATAGTTTAATAAAACTAAGTATGTATTAAAGATATAAATTATATGTTACAATTAAACGTGATATTTGAACATGTTTTCGTCTCATACATTTTTATTTGAAAAAATTCGTTCTAGGCTCCTTAAAATACTTTTGCCTCTAAAATTTGACATATTTTCATCAATTTTTTTTTATTTAACACGTGTTTAAAGAATCAGTTTCGGTGTTTACAATGGTTTAAAAAAATAGCGCTTTATGAGCAACTGCATTAAAAAGATATTGGAATCGTTTACCGTCTTTTTGTCGCATTTCCAAACCATTTTCATTGATTACCGCAACAATAAAATAACTAATCTGTATGGCATAGAAAATATAATAGCATTTCAATGATATCAACAAGAATTCACAATCGTTTTTATGGCATGAAATCGTTTAATTTTAACGTAATTATTATGTTGTCAGAGAATCCGTTTGTAGTATGTTGGTCATGGAAAGATAACTGGCGAAGACTGACAGCCCCTTCTGACGACGCAGATCCCAAACGAGCCTCACTGCTCCCCACACATGGATTCAGGTACCAGCACCTATATCTTTCGCTTTACTCTTTCTGGTAACATTAAAATTTTACCATGCGTGGTGTGATTTAAAGAGCACCTATGTTCTAATGTAAATTAAAAAAAAACTATAGTTAAATTAGAATCATGTTTGTTACAGGGTAATAATCTTATTGCTGGTGATGTGTATACATTGCGGTCTTATACATTTCAAGCTCTACTCGCAGAATCCGCAATATTTGGAAAAGGTTGTTGAGGGAGCATTTATTTCGTTGCCATTAGATACTCCTCAGTAGATAAGGAGTCATTATAGTGTATTAAATTTGTAGATGATGCGGGATCCTATTATATTGTTGACGCGGAACGGCACTGCGGTGGTGTGTGTGTTCCTGATGCTGAGCAACTTCTTACTGGCGCGCCGTATGCTACAACAACAAGTGTCTGTCAAAAATCCCTTCCTCATGTGTTTACTGCACAGGATCGCAAGGTCAATAATGGCATGTATTCTGCAGCATTCCACAGGTGTACCTTGGCTTTCATCTGAATATTGAATCCTAATTTATCACTAAACATTCGTACTACTGTGCAGGATATCTCCTTTATACTTATTGAATGTGTGGTGGGCGGCTACCTGGTTGAAAGAGTTAGGCGATGGGCCTCTGTGGATATCTAACATACATGCGGAAGCTGACATTTGTTGGAACAAACTGTGGACACACGCGCTATTTATCAACAATCTGGTGGACACGCATAATCATTGTCTAGTGCAGACTTGGTGAGTTCACTCGGCGTTTCCTCTTTAAATGGACAATAATATACATATAATAGTTTACAGCTGTGCGATTTCACTATTCCATGCATCTCATTAACTTTGGTCCAAGTTTATGCTTGTAAATCATAAAATATATCAGCCACTAATCTTGTAAAATTTAAACAGCCTTACTGGTTATTATAATTTAAAAAAAATTGAACCGTACCAAGTTTTCTAATACACACATTTCTTTAACTAAATTCGAACATGATGAGCAGTTTTATACGGTATATTGTAGAAATAAACAGAACAAATAATTTTACTAAAAAAATGTAAAGAATTAATTCTTCTACGTCTCTAAAACTAAAACTAAGCACATCTATCTGCCAGGTTCCTTGCGGTGGACATGCAGCTGTACGTAGTGTCGTGTGCTTTAATACTGACTCTCACTACTGTTAGAATGAAAAATTTGATTATACTCGGCATGATTTTTCTCGCCTCCTGCTTATTGAACGGTACACTGTCCTATGTATTCGGATGGAAGAGTATGCTATTTATCACGAACACTGAGTGAGTATTGTAATTTACAAAATAACATAGACCAGACACTGCAATTACTATACATAATTTATTTACCATTCCTTCTGAGTTTGATGAAATTATTAATTTTTCAGAAACCTACGAACGGTGTTCAAAGGCGTGCCGTCGTTTATCAACTTGTACATCACTCCGTGGGGAAGTCTACCGACGAGCATAATGGGCGTATCACTCGCATATCTCGACATCCACCTGCAAGAGACTGGCTTTAAGTTCACAGAACATAAGGTCAGGGATCATTCATATTGTTATCGAGTACATTTACTGAAAATTTCATTGTATTTAAAATTAAGAGCATCCAACTTTTGAAGTGACGGGTGTGATTCTTTTTGAAGCTTTTTAAAAACAACAGTTGAACTTGCGGAAGTCTACCGACTAATTGCGGTACTATTATTTTTAGAAGAGAAAAATGTTACGCGGGGCGAAATGTAGGGATAGCTGTCGAGGTGGAAAAGTTAAGGAATGGTGAGATGTTCCGAACCGCACTATATGCACAGGCCTCGTTCATGTAAACTGACGATTTGTAAAGGTTGTGGAAAGCAGCTCGATAAAACCGTCTTGGAGTCGTAAAGATTCATGTAAAAAGCGCATAGTCAGCATGAGACATAGCACGGTGAGAATTACGATGATATTAAGAGGCATTCTATATCTGGCAGGTGTTGTCGTGGTTGCACCGGTTCAGTATCCCGCTGGTGATAATGACGGTGTGGGTGGGAGCGCAGGCGGTGGACGCGGAGGGCGGCGGGGTTCTGCAAGCGGGCTACGCAGCCCTGGACCGAACCGTGATATGCGCGTTCGCCGCAATCTTGCTGCTCGGAATGTCCCATCAAGTACCCAGTGAATAAACACCACTTAATTTATCACAACGCGGATTAAAAGTACAATAACCCCCGGTTTCAATAACCAAAAAACTATCCGTTTTTTGCTACCATCCGTAGCATTTTCTACCGATGGTAGCAAAAAAGTGTTTCAATAACATACCATTGGTAGGTAAAGCTACCGACGGTGTGCTACTAACGGATTGATCTGATACTGATAACCGTTCGTAGGCAAAATGTATGAAAATGGCGCAAACAGGTGTTTCAATATCTTTCGGTAGAGCTGTCAAACTTACTATCCGTAGCTTATCTGTCAAATTTGCCTACCGGCCATTTTCCGTCGGTTATCGTAAAAATATTTATAAATGACACGTTTTTCCTTGTTAACTAATAGAAAAATAACAGTTTTTCATTAAAAAATTAATATTGTAGAAGAGTTTGATGTGTTTTGTGATTCCAATTAGAAGAATTTTAGTTGTAATCATGCCAATGTTTGTACCTTTAAGGGCTCATACTACCAATTAATCATTGCTCCAGATGCTTTCTACAATATGTTTCTGTTGAAAAACTTGATGATTTATCTCTATATAATTATGAAAAACCTTGTTCTGATGAAACTGAATTTGCCACCTACTTGTACTAAACTTATACACATTACATCAGTTTATACCCTTTATTTTTATTAAACACTGATATTGATTTAATTCTTAATAAAACCCAATTTGGATATAACTTATTTATTTTACAAATAAAAAACAATTCGTAAAAAACTACATAATTTTTACATTATTCCATTGCATTTTTCTACGTTTGTTTTACGATTTGATACAATCATTCCACTTTTTCTAATAACCATTCATTTATCATCCTATGTCAATAGATCACAATTGTTTACTGTCAAATTCATTAATTTTATCTTGCAAATTCAATATGTATAGTACAAATCACTTTATACAATTAACAATTTATAATAAAGGTGAACTCTATATAAAATTCCCGCTAAGCTTCTACGGAACATAAACCAACTTTACTTTTTGGCATAATTAAAGGCAAAGGGATATAGCACATACAACCTAGTCTAGAGTGACAATATTCACATTGAGGTTCACTTCGACGTTTTAAATGCTTTTTTTGGAGCAAAAATTGAAATATATTAAAAAATGGTGAGGTATGTTAAAGTAACACGTTCGCGTTCTTGTACCTACTAAATTGACAAAACACTACTCATAACCATGCACCGTACCATTTCAATGAACTGTGTATTGCACACGTTTATTTATATTCCAAAATTTAATTCGAGATAAAAAAAACTTATATAAACAAATGATGTTATTTTAGGGGTTGCAAACATTTTCCAAAAGGTTCTAATTATAATTTTATTTTTGCAAATAATAATACGGAAATAAGATGTATAGTCTTATTTTTTATCGACTTCAATGAAAAAGAAGGTTTCTCATTCTAGTGTAACTAATTTTGTATAACAATGTGGGGATAAAAATGTAAGATTTGTTGACATTATCTTATAAGAATTTCATTACTTTTTCAATTTTAATTACCTTAAATTGTAAATCAATATCGAATAAAATACTTGTACAGTAGGTGGCAAATTCAGTTTCATCAGGACCAGGTTTTTCATAATTATATAGAGGTAAATCATTATGTTTTTCAAAAGAAACATATTGTAGAAAGCATCTGGACCGATAATTAATTTGTAGTAAGAGCCCTTTAAGGTACAAACATTGACATGATTACAACTTAAATTCTTCTAATCTGAACTACAGAACACATTCAGCTCTTCTACAATATTATTTTTTTAATGAAAAACTGTTACTTTTCTTTTAATTAACAAGGGAAAACGTGTTATTTATAAATATTTTTACGATAAATCATACTAAATAAAAAAAAGTTTAATTCAATGAGCCAAATGTTCCGAATCGCTGTTTCTTGCCTGCAGCATAAAATATTTCTATCCTATTTTTATCTAAAAAAAGGATTTTTAGTTCAAGTAAAAAAATTACTAAAAACTTTTAAAGAGATAAATTTAAGCTGTTTGTTGTAATGGTAACTCTTTTGTTTACATCAGAATTCCATTTCAGACGATAATTTGTTTCACAATAACACCACTTTTAAGAACCTAACCATAAAATAAATAAGTCATAATAATTCCAAAACGAATTTCAAATTTAGTTTCGGTACGTAATTAATCAATCAGTTCACCTCCTTCCTATTGATGTCTCTGTCTTCCTTCTTACGATTTCGATTTTGTCCAAGAAATTATTAAATGTTAAAGACCAACATTTCAGTAGAATCATAATATTACCTAAGACAAGGCTGTATGGATAGAACCCTTTTCCTCGAATTATATGATAACAATTTAAAAAAATGAGCTACCGACAACCGTTCGTAGTTGGTAGGCGCCTACCGATGATTGTGAAACGCAAAAATGAATGTTTGTCGGTAGCTCAAAAAACGGTCGGTAGCTGCTACCGATTGTTGTCGGTATATTATTGAAACCGGGGGTTAGTGATCCAGGACGTTTCGACAGATCCACCCTGTCTCCAAAATGGCTTATGAACCACATTCTTAGTGTCGTTGTATACATATGATAGAAATATGTCCCGCCAGTTGGTGTCGTTGGTGATGACCTATTCACTGCTAACTTCTGTGAGATACAACTGGACAATTTATACCCGTCAGAAATCGTTCTGTCGTCTGGCGGATCTTAAAGAATATTTATCTATACTTTAAGAAAGAGGAAAGATTTGGTTGTTTGTTTGTATGTTTACATCGAATGGGCTCCGAAATTACTATACTCCATTCATTATAGCATTAGACAGAATGAAAATAAGGTTCTTTTTATGGTATACTTTGTGACAAAATATCAACAATCATGTTTCTTATAAGATAATTTGCTACATATCCACTTAAATACCAGCTGCTATACTTAACAGTTGCCGTTTAAGCTATCTGTTAAACAAAATTATGAGTATTTGACTAACTTAAAAAATTTAATAATTTTTACAATAAAAAGTGTTCATCTTAAAGAACCTAGAGAAGCAGGGTTGGATAGTCTCGACACGATTCTCATGTCACTATAACTCTACCAATATTAAAACGTTGCCTAATCCCTTCAAACGTTTCGGTAGTGCAGCTTTTTAATTTTGACAGAATATTATGTATTTATAATAGTCAAAATACGTAATCTGGGATTTTCATTAATTGTGAATATTATTGCCTTTCTTGTTGTATTACCGTATTCCGTGATTGAGTTATTTTTGTATTATTGTTGTTTTCTTATAGCTTTGTTTTAGTTGTTATCTTTTTGAAGTTAAGTTTTGCTAAATATGTACGATTCCAATTAGCTCTGACATTTCAGGAAGTTTTTCCAATATCTTAATCTAATAATATCTGAATAAATGTTATAAAAATAATAATAAAAATATCATTTTGTTTACCTTTCTTTCCTAGGCATAAATATAACTAAATTCTATTCTAATTATACACTTAAAATTAGAATTTATTAAAAAACAGATAGATAGTTATAGTTCCATATTGGCTTGGGAGTAAAAGATGAATTTACAAAATTCTAACCTCATCGCAAAAGATAATGGAAAATTGCCCAACTCTTTCAGACTACCTAACGTTCAAATTTTCAACAAAACTATTATATATTTTTTTTTTAATTTATATTGAAAATAAAATGTTCTGTGACCCTCTTTTTTCTAATGTTATAACGAAAGGAGTATAGACCGTTTTTAAAAATTCTTTCACCTACGGGAAACTACATTATACGGAGTTGACATAGGCTATAATTTACGCGTGCGAAGTTGCGGGAAAATAGCTAGTGGGTTATATAGTTGACATTTGTGGCCAACAGGTTTCATCCTACCACTCACTCAATACATAATGCTATTTAAAAATCCTTAAGTTCTAACGTTTGAGTTCGGTAGGTGTAACGAGACAGATGATGTCATGGCACGGCTGGGTGGTGTTGTCGCGCCTGTCCCTGCCTGCGCTACTGTTGCACTGGAGCGTCACCATCACAGGCCTCGCACGGCTCAACGCTCCGACCGCTAGTTACTATACCATTGTGCGTAAACTTATCACAATTCACCAGTACTCAGTGGCGTATTTACCCTAAGGCTACAGAAGACCCAACACTGGTTGTATAATCACTGTTTATCCAAGACATACTGTTAAAAATAAATTTTGGACAAAATTAAGAAATTACCCCTTTAATAATGCCATATAATTTTCTTTAGACGAGGCTTATGATTTGGCAGCCAAAACGTTTATAATTTAATAATAAATAAAAACCTCCTTATTAAATGCATGTAGGTATACTTAGCTAAGAATAAGAATAAATCAATTTATTTATTTTTTACCTATTTCATGAAATGACGACTGTTATTGCCCATGGGAAGACAAGACATGTGTCTTTTACACTGACAATACCAACAGATGTAAGCATTAAGAAAATATATTCAGCACGACATAGACACGAATAAATTCTTGAATATATTGCAATAAACGTTGTTAAAAAAGTTAATTAATGTGAAATCTTTTATTTTAACATATAATTTGCTACATATTTTATTATTGTTTCTTCCAGTTCTGGGGGGCAGCAGCGACAGTGAGTATGACGTACCTCTTGTCAGTCCCTCTCTCTCTTTGCGTGGAGATGCCGGTGCAGCGCATGGTCACCGAGCTGCTCATGCGATGCGCTACAGTCACCACCGCCAACGCCGGCGGTGATCCACATAGCAAACAACGATTCAATAACGGATCTATAACTGACAAAGAAGTAATTTCCAAAAAAAAATGCTAAATCTTATTTTAAAATTTATCACAATCCGAAAAAGTTAGCGATTATGATAACAATGGATTTCGGAATTATGGAACTATAGTCGCAAACGCTTTTGGAACGAATATTGATTAGATGCTCTAGAAACATAAAAACTAACGTAAACCAACCGGTGAGTTAATTGTCTAATTTCAAAATCTATCGCAGTACCTTTTAAAGTTGTAGTGATTTTAGGATTTATGTAATGTTTTATAAAATTCTTAATAAAAACTTAGCTAAACTCGTCTAAAGATCGCAGTTAGTATTTAACTTTTTCGTTTGTCATTACTCAATAGCTTCCAAAGATATAAAGGCATTTTTGTATATTCATATGACAATAAAAATTTATTATTATTATAATAGGGAATATGTACATTTTTGGAAAATGGTTTTATATGATAATTTACATCGATATATAACTGTAAAAATACCCGGCACTGAAAAACTAAAATTTTGTAACATTAATAATTGATGAAAATAATTAATAGTTACGAGCAGTTTAAACGCCGGAATCTTTGGCGCGCTCGTCGTGACGTCAAAGTACACGACTAGAGATATGAGATTTTAAATCAATATGGGTTTTGATTGATAGATTATTATTCAATTAACTAAATCGATTAACAACTAATCGATTTTATTAAGTATAATAGACTTTTTTAATAAATCGTATAATTTACTTAATTGGTGAAATAAAATTAAAAGCCTAAAACATCATTTAAATTGTAATCAGTTGTTTATTTTGCGATATAAAACATTGATGTTATTGCATCGATGTTAACTTTTTGTAACAACGACATCCCTATACGTATACATTTTCGTCACATCCGCTCTGACAAGTAGCATGGCGTTTAAATATTTTGAAGTTACCGCATTTATTTTGCACTTTTTAATAATTATTTTCAAGACGAAAACGAAATATTGAAAAATATTTAGATAGACTTCATTCTAAAGCAATAACGATTGTAATAAAATATATTTAACCTTTTTTTGAATCAGACGACTATTCCCTATTGCATCTAACGCTTGCCTTAAACAATTCCAATTAAAGTCAAATGAACAATATCGTTCATTCATGAATATCTTTCAAATTTAAATTGAAAGGGATTCCGATACATTTGAAATTAGACAATTAGGATCATGATTGCAGAAAACATTTATGATTAGCTTTCATGGTATTTGGGTTTCCTTAGACAATTTATTTAACTTATTATTTCCTAAGACAATTCTACTGAGGAAGTATTTAAAAAAAAAACATTTGTTCCCGAAATCAACTAGATGTCGCTACGGTACTTTCTTGATTTCTCCATGACAACACTTGAGGTTTTCTTTCATGTGCAAAAGTGAATTAATTTCCAAAACTCAATAAAGAACTAATATTCTATTTGTACTTATTCGTATTTGTATTGATATCTAAGTTTCGGACTTTACAAATTTCGGTTTTTCAATATGTTAGTTGAAATGTTCATTCGTTTCCTGCAAAATCAACTATTGGTCGAGTCACCATCTAGTGAGGTGCTTTTTAGTGCTTTCTTTTTTTCTTAAAAGTTCATTCAATTCAATTACTTTCAAAAACTTTTTACACCAAAATATTTTAATGATAAGGGTCAAAATCCGTTACAAAATTTGACACATTGTATACCTGTAGTGCAATCTTGTATACATAAATAAGTTGTTCCCTGTAAATCCTTTTAATTTAAATCAATTAAGAGGAACTACAGGGAAACGAAGCAATCTGAATATATAAAGAGCTATCCGCTTAGGTAAGATACTTATCACTAGATAATACTCATGATATCGAAATATATTATAAATATTTTTCATATGGTAAAGTGTGCAAATAAATTATGAAATAAATATTATAAATTCCATTGATGTTTTCTTTCTTTGTAGAATAATTCCAGTCTCTAAAATTAAGCCCACTAAATTATTAAAATACCTTCCTACCTTTTCATATTTTTATAGTAGATTATGATACTGTTACATAATAAGGGTTCTTATAACATGAGTGTGTTTTAAAAAAACAAGCCGCAGTGGAGTTTTTTTATAGTACCACACGAGTGTTATAAGACCAAGTTATGTACGGTCGGCCAAGAAAGTGGTCTACCAGTTTTGACAACATTTCCCGTGTCTTTAAAGCATCGCTAAAGGCGAATCTTAGAATTGCATACAAACAATAAAAGAGATGCACAATGCTGATGTGTTGTCGTAGAGCACAAATGTTATTTTGACCTTTGCAGCCTATGCATTAGATAATAATTTGCAACAACAAATAGTCTTCACAATATTTCATAAATTTAAAATTTAAGTAGGTCACTTCAAAGTGGAAACTATTTTGTTACGAAAACTCTTTTACTGAAAAAGAATATATCACTTGACAATTCATGTCAAATATTTTCTCGCCATTTTCCGTAGGTATTTTCCTAATTAATTTACACTACAATGCCCCGAAATTTATCCATTAACGATAGAGCACAAATAATTGAATTACACAATGATGGTTTGAATATTAGTGAGATTTCTAGAGAATTAAATGTGTCGGTAAGTATTATTATGTCTGACGTGAGTTTAATGTAAAATCTCAGACCAAGTCCGAGTGTAAATTATTTTTTTTTATTTTTACTGTTCATATTTTATTTATGATTATAGAGACAAGCTGTCCGTCTTTGGATACGACGAGAAAGCGAGGAGGGGAATTTGAACGCCGGAGTCGTAGCGGTCGTAGACCTGAAATATCAGATACTCAGCGAGTCTTCATGAGACGGAGTTATGAGGAATCTGGCTTTATACCAACGCGTTATTTTGCCGACATATTTAACGTGACTCTCCAAACCATTAGAAACCATTTACATTACATGGGCTTACATCACAGGCGTTATGCAAAGAAAATTTTCTATGACTGACGCTCATAGAATGGCCAGATTAAATTTCGCCATAGAATATTTGGATTTTGATTGGAGTAACACTGTTTTCTGTGACGAGAAAACTTTTAAATCCAATCAACACGCGCGTCTACACCTTTGGCGATTCAATAAAACGCGATACACGCAAAATCATGTCGTGCCAAATAGAGAATCGGGTCGTATCTCGGTAAATTTGTATGGATGGATGACTGCTGATGGTGTTGGACACTTGACCTTTTTGCCACCACGAGCAACGGCATCAGATTATGTTGATGTTCTCCAAAATGCTATGTTGCCATCCGTCCGGAACGTTTATCCAGAAAATGAAATACGTCAATTTAATTATTTACAGGATAACTGTCCCTTACATTAAGCAAGGGTAACACGTGCTTGGTTTGATGCACATCCGGAAATAAACTTGATACCATGGCCTGCAAAATCGCCAGATCTCAACCCTATTGAAAATATGTGGGGTCTTTTGGTTCAGAGATGGTGTAACCGTAATGAACGAACAGCAGAAGCACTACAAGGGCACTGCAATGAGGTTTGGGAGGAAACTCGTGGGTCTGATATCTGCTCAAGACTGGTGGGCTCGATGAGGGAACGTCTCCAAGCTGTTATAGAGGCAGATGGCGGCTACACAAGATTTTAAGAATTATAATTTTATAAAAGAATTGTATATATTTTTTAACAACCAAAGAATTAGCATTTTCACTATCTCTTCTAGTTTTAGCACCCGTCTCGCACTAAACTATGAGTCGGCGCAATTTGGTTTTCGTCGCTATTCATTTCTGTTATCCGTTATCTCAGTATATTCAGACCTATAACACGCATAGCTTCTTACGCATAGCATTTCACTACCTACTGGTTTTTTTTATTTGTATTAAAATATAATTAATCTACATTCTAATGTAGGATATTTGTAGACTATAAGACTTTATTTACGATATTCTAACTCTAAAAGTATTTAAACATACAAACAGACAGACAGAAAAAAAATTTTTTGGCTTCTATTAGTCTTATGAAGGCCGTCCATATATATTTTTTTCAAAATATCTTACAAATGTAAGCTTGTTACATTTTTATTATAGGTATAGATAATTACTGTCAAAGGTTACGTCAAAATGATGAAAATAGCAATAATGACGTGTACTTGACGTGTCAAAAAATTAATGCTACGGAAAATCAACCTTGTTGTTAGTTGACGTAACACGCGAAATTCAACCTTAGGGTGGTAGACCACTTTCTTGGCCGACTGTACATGTGTCATACACTACTTTATCTACTCTCATACTATAATACGTAAAACAATTTGGTAAATAAAACGCTGAATTTAACACCAAATTTATTTTTACTTGTAATAATAATTGATCTTCTGAATATGACAATTATGAAACTGAATTTGAACCGGACAGGAAGCGTTATTGGAGGTACTCGGAGAGGGTATGTTAATGTTGACCTCATTTCTGTTACTTTCAATACTTGTCAGAAACACCGATCTTGTTAGTAATTGAATCATCTATACATATAGCCTTCTGCAACTGTCGTTGACTACAACCACCATGTCGTTTTAGTGCCGTTATATCTCCACTAGCGTCAACTAACGAGATCGCAGATGTTTGGCGAAAGTATTGTCCTGTGTACAATTCGGGGTTGGTAAGTTGAAGATAGCTGGCAATAACTTTGCCTAAAGCTCCATATTTGTTAATGCCAGCTCTCTGCGTCGGCAATATAGTTTAGAAAAAAACTGGGATTGCTGCACTCAGTTGGTCGTAGCTCTATGTATTTTTTGCATTGTTCATAATATTTCCCAGTAATGGTAAAAGAGCGGTCTATCTTGATTTTAGTTTTACTTATTTTATAGTGTAGTTTCGAAGACTTCAACATTTTTCAATTGTATGTTGTATAACTCTTGAAGTCGGCAAGCACCCATAATACCAAAAATTTGTGCAATCTGTTACAATTCATAAATGTATTACGGTAAATAAACTCAATATTACTAAAAAAATGTA